GGGGGGGGGGGGGGGGGGCAGGGGCGGATGGATGGGTGTCACCTGGAAGCGAAGAGAGAGGTGTTTGGAGATGGCAGGCTTGGGGTTGTTGGGTCATGTCATGCTGGCTCGTTTTTGGCTTCCGTGGCGTGTTCGGCGTTTGCAGGTTTACGCAGTTCGTGCAAACAGCCTCTATAGGTTGCCCTCTTGTTGTTGTGCCTCTTTTCACGTTAGGTACATGCACGGGGTGCTGCTGTATTGTCTACAAGACCCGACTCAGAACGATGAGACGATACGGTGTCGGTGTTTGTGTCCTCCAGTTTATGTGAATTTCGTCGTCCCCGCGTCGTCATCGGTTGACTTGAATGAAAAACGTCACCGTCACCGGCTGCGGATTCCTCTTTTGCATCCGCAATTTTATGCGTTCCTTGCCCTTCTAATGCATTCCTTTTGCGTTTCATGAACTCTGTGAGGCAGAACATGCCGCTCTCAGCCCTGACTGTAGTGGCCTCCGGTTCTGCTGTTATGATTTATCCGCAATTTTCGCCGCCGGCATCCCTGCCGCCGTTGCTCCTGGTGCTGCTGCTGCTTGTTGTATTTATGTAACCGATGCCACCTTAACCTGCATGCGTTTCTGCTGTTACATGGCCGATGGTGATGCTGTTACACCACTAACCCCGGGGAACGATTGATTCAGCGGAGCCTCCTAGAAGCGGGCGACCGCCTCGTGGTCTTCATGAACGAGCAGCAACACTTCCGGGTGAACCACCGCTTCTGCAAGCCGTACGTCGGCACGACCAAACACGATGGCGTCATGCGACGGGCAAGCCGCAATAACAGGAGGATGGCCAGAGCGATAAAGGTACCTGGGCGGTGCTGCCTAGTATCATGAGGACGCGGGAGCTCGTGTAAGGGCAGATGATGCCAGGCTAAGCTGATTGTACGGGTAGGGATATTGTGGACAGATACCGATGGCGAGACAGACTGCTGAATAGTCACAGGGAGACGGTTACGGGAGATGTAGAGCGTGCTTTCCCAAAGGCAAGAAGCGCTAACAAAGAACGCCTTGCACGTGGCTGTGTCGTTCCAACATGTCGATCTTGATGATGATTTCTTCAGTGCCTCGAGGTCGAGAACAGAATCATTGGCAGCTAGGTCATCGAGATGTTCTGTCTTCACCAGTTCAGGCAGGAGCAGCTGTATTTTCTCAATCCATTGCTACGGCGTCTGTCTTCATCGTGTCTTGAGGCTTTTCGGCAGTAGGTCTCCCTCCCTCCCCTCCCGCCATGTAATCTCCGTCCGATGGACGTAAGGGTCAGTGTGGCCCCGAACACTAACGTTCACGCACACACGAGGAAAAAAAAACACACGCCTTGTCTTTGTTCCCTGCCCCTTTGGGGGTACTACACTGTACTGTACTTTGTTGTTGAATACTGCAGATGGCAACGAAGGGGCTGCGAGTGGCGCACGAGCGTTTCGGGAGCGACGGTGACCCCAACGCCCCTCACAACCGACCAAACTTCGACACACAAGACACACAACAACAACAACAACAACAACAACAACAACAACAAGCCGCCCTCGCCGCTGGTGAGCGGTTGACGGGGAGCGCTACCGCCGCACCACCTGCCGCTGCTGGTAAGGTCTTGACAGGGAGCGCAACCGCCACCACTCACCGCTTAGTGCCCCCCGGGCAAGCAGCTCAGCGGGGTCTAGCCCTGGCAGCGGCGGCGGCAGCAGCGGCGGGGGTGGGTGCGGCGGCGGGAGGGAGACGAGGGGAGACGGTTATGGTTTCCAGGCCCCGCCGCACTCCGAAACCTCCCAAGTATCTGATAGAAGGGATGGTTGGGAACGGCGGTGCGGATGCGCCCGTGAGATCGATTGCGGGCAAGGGCAAGGTGTGTGTATCGTTGTCATGTATGCTGCGAGGGTGTCGAGTGAACTTGATGTGCTGGTTGTGAGTGTTGTGCGTGGCCGAGCATGCTGGGATGGCCTAATGTGTTGGCCTCTTTTTCATGGTGCACCATCATGGTCCACATTTTCCAGTTTGTTTCTGCGCTCTGTATAATGCTGCAAGTTTTTGCTTCATGGTGTCTAGACTAATGGCGCATCATGGGGCACCACGAAAGACGCGACGAGTTTCATGGACCTTTCTTTAGATAATTCTTTCTAACCCAATACCGTGATATCCTACGTCGTACACGCTGGTGCTGACTGCTTGATAACGTTTATTTAGTGTAGCAGGACGCACACATGCTTTGGAAGCTAATGCTAGCGTAGCGGTGGCCTGTACTGTATCTGGGAGGAGGCATAGAGGAGTTTTCCGGTGTACCGTACCGATCGCCGAGTGCAGTACAAGTGGTTGCAGAGCTTACCACACCCATGGTCATGCCCTTAGGTATACCAGAGCGGCACTTGACCCTCCGGCTCTGTTGTTCCGCGCGAGTTCGCCGACAGCCGAACCCAATCCATTGTTCACCTTTTGTTTGTCACCTCGTGCTTTATTTTGATCATTTTGATAATAGATTGACATTGCCGCTGTTGTCCGCCACTCCGCGCGCTCTCGGCCCACCGGTACCGTGCCCTAGCCTTCTTTTCTCATGTCCTGCTTCTATCATATTTTCCGTTTCTTCGTTGTTCTCCGTGGACTTCTCTCTGTGCCCGTTGTGCCTGAAGAAGCGTAAGGATGGTCGTGTTGGTGGGTCCTCGGGCGTGTGGCGGGCAAGTAAGAGCCAGAAGCGGGGCGGCGGCGGTGGCGGCAGCGAGTTGGAGCAGCACCAACCCGCGGCGGCGGCGGAGCGGCAACCTTCCCGCAAAAAGATGCTGACCGCCTTGGCTCAAGCGGAATTAGCAAGCGGGTCGATGAACATGGTGCGTTAGCTGGGACTGCGTTGCAGAACTCGGTGTCGTTAGTTGTTTTGTCCGTTTCGGCGGTGTGGGCGGCAAAAAGTCGATTCGTATGTTGACTCGATTGGTTGCCTCAACTCGGAAAGAGAATTCTTGTAGTATGTTTCGACTTTCTCGTCCTTGCACAATTTCCTTGGCCGACCCCCAACGCCTACACCTACCGTGCTTGCTCTCGCCCCACGGTGAAAAAACACTTTCAGGCTTCAGCAGCAGGGGTCCGTGGAGCGCTGTCATTGGCTGCAGGCCAGCGATGCCACTCCACCTACCACAACGACACTCGCGTGGAGTCTGGCTCCAATTCGTGGCCCCGAGAGCCGGTTGTAGGGCAAGGCCGACGAGGCATCAGTGTCAGTCTTGGCCTTGATGGCTCTCCTCAAGGCCCCCTGCTGTCGCATAGCGTGTCTCGCGGGAGGGACTGGTACAGCAGTGCCGCAGACGGTGGGGCCGCGACGCCTATCGACGTTCCAGACGGCAGCAGGATGACGGTGGCAGGCAGCGGCAGCGACAGTTTTCCCCATCATCGTCATTTCGAGATACAGCGACAGCAACTGCGGCAGCGACATGAGCAGGAAAGTGGTACGAGCATCAGCAGCAGTAGCATGAGTAGTATCAGTAGAATCAGTAGCAGGTGGTCTTGGTCGTGAAACGGCCCAACGTGAGAGCAGGCAAACGCCGCCGAATCGATGGCAAGGACAACAGCAGCACCACCAGCATGGGGCCAGGTGGGGGGTCGGGGGGTCGGCAATCGGGGCACGGGTTACTCCCCCCGCGCAAGGCGCTGCAGCGGCGGGGGCGGCTGCAGGCGAGCTTGGTGCTTCGGGCCGACACCGGGGTCTAGCTGACGGTATGTCTCACGGCCATGCGGAACTTGGGCTGGGGGCGATGGGTATGTTTGAGATGTCTGCTGGCAAGACAAGCGCAGGCGGCGTTGGCGGTGTCGCATCGTCTTCGCCAAGAGCAGGAGGACAACGCGTACTTATCGCACGGGACACTTTGGACTTGCCCTTGCTAGGCGCTAAAGGTGGAGGTGGGGTTGTTGTCGGGGTCGGGCCTGAGTCAAGCCAAGTCCAACTCGGGCAGCAGCACCAGCCGCCGCAAGGAGGGCCACGTTCTTGGGCGCAAAGGCAGGAGGAGGCCGTCCTCTTGGCGCAGCGTCGTACACAGGAGTTGCAGGGTCGGCAGTGGCAGCGATGACAGCGGGAGGACCGTCTCGCCTTAGAACCCGGCGGAGGTGGTGTTCAACACCTGGGGGGTGGGGTGTCGGGTAGTGTCTTTAGCCTGGGAGACGGGGAGGTGGAAGATTTTTCTTCGACGTCCAACGTCCAAAGGCAGCAGCAGCACCAGCTGCAGCACCCGCACCAGCAGAATCTCTATACCCTCCAACTCCAGCAGCGGCAGCACCAGGCGAGGTTGTTGAGACAGCAGCAGCAGCAGCAGCAGCAGCAGCTACAGAAACACCACCACCAACAACAACAACACGAGCAATACCCCGCCCAGATCCCTCTTGAGGCCGTTCTCGGCGTTGGCGGTGACGACATCATCGAAGAGCAGACGGGGATGAGCGGCGGCGGGGGAAGCATGGAGCGATCCGCGTTCTTGCTCGGCTCGCCGTCCTTGTCGTGGCCCCACCAACACCAACACCAACACCAACACCGGCAGCCTGCACTAGACCCGCTTCGAACAAAGCAGCAGCTTCTTGCGGATTCTCCCATATTGGCGGGTGTGCCTGGACAAGGGCTAGACCAAGGTCAGCACCTGGACGGCATAGGGCAGGACAGGGACGGGGGATACGGCGGTTCCTTTTCGACGGCGATGGCAGCGACGCTTGGTGGGATGGATGTGATGGGAGCGCACGGGATGACGACGTTGGGTAGAGTTGGTAGCGATGGAGGAATTTCCGTGCCCCTGCAACAGGTGCTTGTGGGGCGTGTGGGTCAAGGGGAAGCGGCCGGGAGTCGGCGGCCGCAGCCGCAGCCGCAGCCGCCGCAGGCAGCGCCCCTGTTTTTTCGGCAGCAGCACGTGAGGATTCGGTTGTTGAGTGATACGCATATGTAGGCCTGCACCACCAATCTGGTTCTCAACTCACAACGGTTGAAGCTGTTCGACTCTTTTTCATAGCGGTGCAACACGTCGTTCGTTGTCTTCTGTCTGCCCTTGTCTCCTTCCGCGCAGCTTCAGCATCTCGACAACTTCTTGACGGATGCTCAGCAGCAGCAGCAGCAGCAGCAGCAGCAGCAACAGCAGCAGCAACAACCCCGCCTAGCAACGCAAGTGTCAACACCGGAGTTCCGAAACATCAGGGTGACGGTGCCGTTCGATGGCAGCATCGACGGTAGCGAAGGTGGCGGCGGCGGCGGCGGCGGTCGTGGAGCAGGCAGTTTTGGGAGGGTTGCAACTTTGTAGCATGGCTATGTAATGACAGTGGGGGTGGTGGGGTGTCACACCGTGTGGCGGTTTTGTAGGGCTGGGCAAGTTGCAAGCGATGCAAGAACACGCGTACGCGGGTCAAAGCCCTCGCACTCATCTGGTACAGAAGCTTGTGCTGCGAACGTGCTTGGAGAGAGAGAAATAGAGAGCGAGAGGGAGAGCGAGAGAGGGAAAAATGTTTGATTTCTGGTAAAAAGGAGGATTCGTTACCACCAGCGCATGCCGTTGCTTCACAGTGTGGCCGCAACATTTCATCGTAAAGCAGACCGACCTGGAGAGAGCTGTGTGGCCCTTTGTTGGCGCTACAGGGAGACGTTCGTCTTCTTTTCGCGGACCCGGCTTTCTTCGATTTCCAGGCATTCTTGGCATTGATGACGTCACACGCTTGGCCGACACCCGCATTGATGGTGTGCGTCTTGTAGATTGCAGGGTAGGGTTCGATTGTACTGGCTCACACGCGGGTGAGAACAATTGTTCAGCTGTCTTTTGAACATTGTAGCATACAACAGAAGATTTACCACTTCCACCTACAGCTGGCCAGTTTCGCACCATGTTGTTTTGTGTGTTTTGGCGGCTTTGGTGGATGTGTTGTCATGCTTGTGTGTACACTCCTCCGTGTCGATTTTCCAATGTAACATACGGCGGGTATCATGTCCCTTGTTGATTGCGATGTACCGTACATGGTGTGTTGCAATTTTTGGTTGCACTATATTTACTCTATTAATTCATTGTTTTTTCGATCGTGTAGCTGTGCTCATTGCAAGAAGACTTTGGCTAAAGAGAGAGGTGGAACCACCTCAAACTTGAAAGTATATTGTACATTTCATTCCCTTTTCGCGGCGTGGCGTAGTGATGCATTTTTTCGTCCGGTGTTTCGTTATTTAGGCCCGTGCCAGCTTTGTTTCCAGCAGTCTGTCTGTGACATGTGTGTATGGTGTGAAGCAATTCGTTTATTTCATTAGGTGCATGGTGCGTTTGCGCACATGGTGCAGCAACAGCTGGCAGCGAGCAACAGAAGCGGGGGGAGGGGGATCGGCTGTTTATGTCTCCTGATGGATGTAGAGGTGGTGCAATTGCATGATACCGCTGGTGGTGGTGCGAAGGGGGCACGCGGAAATGGACAGGGTGCAGGGTGTGGGGTAGCGGCGGCAGGCGACGCACGGCCGACAATGCAAATATGGTCTTGTGCGTGACTAACGTGTGCTGCGGTTTTGTGTGAGTATCAGTCTGGGGTGTGTGTGACATTGGTGAGACGGACATAGGCAGTACGTTCGTAAACGTGCAAGGCGTGGTTGTGTAGTAGGGAAGACGTGGTTGTGTGTAGCATATTTGTGCGTGGCTAGGGATGGATGGCATCACACGCGTCTTTCCCGAGGGCACCACGTAGAAGACGTTACGTGTTCAAGGTTTACAAAACCTCGTGGACAACGACAACAACGGCCAACTTTATCTCATTACTAGCACGGTGTTCTTCATGTTCTGTTTCAGGATTATGCGCGCAAAGTGGAGATAGATGATGATTGCCGGTCGTGCCTACGTGACTTGTGCATGGTCGAAGGCATGCGCGTATTGGACCAATGAAATCTGAAAATGACCTCACAATCGCGAACATGGCTTTCACACGCACGTATGATGCCCTTGCCCAAAGGCACTGGCTATCGGCGACGGTGGTGCATGTTTGTTCCTCTTGGGAGCCCGCCGCCTGATCATGTCTTCGTGTACCCGAGACAAAAGAACTACATGACAAGGAGACGAGGTGCAAGGAGAGAAAAGGCAACAACGTACACTTACAAAATGCTGTCTGTGGATATTTGGTTCCGTGCCGGAGTGAACCGTACGTTCTCGTGCACAACAAGATCGTGTGTGTCTTTTTGCGATTGTCTTTCACCCCTTCTGGATGCTTCCTTCCTCCCCACCTCAAGAAAACCCCCCACCGAGTCGATAACGTGACCCCTGATGGGTGCGCAGTTCGATCCCATCGGGGTTTAGGCTTCCGTGATATTCTGCCGACTTGCCAAGCAACAAGCAGTCCTCTTGGTTGTGCGGCTTGCACACGGCGCATGTAATAACGTTTCTGGTGGTCGGTGGGTATTGTGGGATTTCCGTGTGGATCTCGGCAGGTGGTGGAAAGGGCTGACATCGACAGACGTTAGGCTGTCCAACTAGCTCGCAGGTAGCAGGGGATGCTACTGCTGTAGACTTGTTGATGTTGAATTGGCGCTTGCGACCAACAAGGACGTGTAGCGAACGATAGACTTTGGCAGTCTAGGGAAGAAGACAGGAGAAAAACAGAGTGAAAGAGAAGGGGGGCGAGCTTGGCTGCACCTCTTCTCTTTCTAGAATAGCAGACACACACATACGCACCCCAAAAGAAAAAACATACGGCTAGGGAAGAACTGCCCAGAGATTCTTGTCAAAACGAGGATCAGAATGATGGTAGCGAAAACAAGGAGGATAATGGTGAAAGTACTCCTAAACGAACTCGAGTCCAAGGTAGTAGCCTTGGTAGACGCGTGCAGTTTTCTTCTGTTGCTGCCGTTTCTGTC